GGAACAATGTTTCCCTAAATCTAAATTCACACGTTTAGAATCAAATTGTGCCTCTTTTTCTGTGATCAGTGTTTTCCCCTGGGGAGGACGACGCCTGTGGTTCGTTTCCCGAATCCAGTTGATTTTAATGATCTCCGTACTTTTGTCTACCTCGGTCCCCAGGTTTCAGAGGTACGTCATATTTGTGTTCCACAGTAAAATATAAAACATACAAAATAATCTACTGGAAGTGATGATCTCTGCGATAGTCCGCTGAAACAGCAAAGCTAAGCGAATCAGGAGACAGGTGGTTCGGATGCTCTCATGCAGTGATTCAGCTGCAGCACTTAGACGACCATTGACGAGACGATGGGACGGACGGACAGAGTGGAAACTTTTCTTTTCTGTCTTTTCTCCTCTGATTAGCTTTTTCTTTTTTTTTTTTGCTTTGTTTTGTTTTGCAGGACGAGCTCAGCATCACCGGGATCGTGTCATTGATTTGGAATATGCAAATAGCTGACAGTGCATTTGCCTGCTGGTGCTTGACCTTCCCCTTGGAGGTCGCTCGCCGACTCAATTACGCTCCCTATCTGCAGTCTGTCTGCAAACACCTGTTATCCTCCCACACTCCGCCACCCACCGCCAATCCCACTTCAACACATCTCATCCTCGGTGCGTCTGTTTGGAGGCAGTAGGGGGACGAGATGAGGACGGATGGTGGGGGAGGGGGAAGGGGAGGGACGCCAGGCAGGGGGAGGAAATAATGGAGGAGGGGGGGGTGGTTTAGAGATGCATTACAGCAAACCTTCTTTACCATTTCCGGTTAGTGCTGGTTAGAAATGTACACAGTCATCATAATGGGATCTCAGCAGGTCTCTCTCCTTTAACACCTCAGCTGGTTTAAATGGCGCCGAAACATTTGGGAGCAGCGGTGATTTTTTTTATTTAACTATATATTTTTAAACGTTTTCATTATGTCAGTGACCTAAGTGGAAATTAATGTTTCCTGCTGCGGAATATGTAACTTTCAAACACTTCAGTCGAATCAAGTCTGCCCTCAGCTGCCAGAAGAGATTTTATACCTGGTTAATCTTAGAAACAAAAGAGACAGTTCAAATAATACGAAATAAACAAGGAACATCAGCTTCTTCCAGTCAAATTAACACTTGTAGCATATTTCCGCTCGCTGTGTAAAGGATGGAGTGTTGTCCATTGTTACTACATCACTATCTTTATTGCTTCAGCACATTTAAATCTGGATGAATTACACCCACATTATTCAACTCTCTGTCGGATAGTTTCACGTGTTTATGAACATATCAGCGTCCATTTCTGGGAATTATTTATTGCCTCGGATTTAAAGAGAACCTCCAGTCTTCAGGAGGCCGGGAAACAGCAACATGGAGAATATTTTAGTTTTTCATTTTCATCGTTTCTTTTTATTGCCCTAAATCGACTGAAAACAGGACAGTGACTGTGATTGTTATACATGTCAAATTGCCGTGTCAGTGTAAATTATTGCCATGAAAACAAAAGTAACTCTGCATTCATTAGTTGGAAGTTCTTCTAGCACTGGTACCGTACATTGTTCCTCTTTAAAAAACTAAGTCCCTCGGACTCTCTACAGTTTTCATGCATATAAACATTTTCTTTGAAGATCAGCAGCATCTTACAAGGTCAATGGATGTTCATATTTTAAAATTATAAACAGTAAATAAATACATGATAATCAACGAATAATTCTGTCTTCAATAAATACACAAAAATAAGATAAATAAATAATACAAAATAAATAGATAAATAGGTAGATAAATAAAGTATTTACATGATAAATAGATGGGATGCATTTAAAACCGTGGGCGGAGCTTTGAGCGACATATAAAAAGGGACAAACAGAACGATTCGACTGTCACTTTGTAACTGAGGGTGTGTGTGTCCATACCTTCACTCTGAGGTAACACTGGCGGTGGCGGAGCACCTCAAACACTGGCTGCACATTGCTTTGTTAAGACTGATGATGCACCATAAAGGCAGCAGAGTTCATGCAAGCCACCATGGTGGAGGAAGAACAACGAAAGTTTTCATTGCTATAGACAAATCAACCGCACATGGCACTTAAAAACAACACGTCATTTGGTCTGGCTCTCAGAGTTTTCTCGTCAGGGTGAGACTATGAATCTGATTGGATGTGGTGTGATCGCCTGTTCAACAGGCCTGTTAAATGTTTTAACATCACTGCTATTGGCGGATTCGACTGAACGACCTACGGCCTGTTATCATCATCTTGTCCAGCTTATTTAAATTAGCTTTTTTTTTTTTTTTTACCATTTTAAATACCCACAGTTACAAAGATGCTTTTGATCAACAAGGGATAATAAGCACAAAAAAATAAATTTAGAAAAATCAAATACAAAAATAACATCCGTTGAATTAAAACATTGGTGTGGAAAAAAGGGTTTGTCGTTTAACCTTTTAAAATGATCTCCCTTTTTTTGCAAATACTGTCATAGTTCACATTTTCATAAAAAGTTCATGTTGGCAGTTGCAAAAGAATTCAATTCTTAGCAAATAAAAAGCAGCATAAAAATACAAGAGGTCATTTTGTCTCTAAAAAACAAAAGAACACTGTTAGTCCTTTTTTATGTTGTTTTTTTGTCGTTTTCTCATTACTATTTGCTATAAAATATCAGGAATCTAAATATTATTACTATTGATATCAATATCATTATAGTCATTGATAAAAATTCACATGCCAGGCCTCATATATAATTGTGTGTAAGTGTGTGTGTTTGTCTGTGTACTTGTACTTCTCTCCTTGTGGGGACCAGCGACATACACCCCACAGGTGGGGACATTTAGGAAAGTCGGGACATTCTGGTTCCCACGAATGCAAAGGGACATTTCAGGGTTTACTGGTCTCGGGTTTCAGGTTAGAATTAGGATTAGGCTAAAGGTTGGGATTAGGCATTTAGCTGTGATAATTAAGATTAGCATAGTGGGTTATAGCATTATGTAAGTAAGTGTCCTCATAAAGACTGAAGTACAAGTATGTGTGAGTGTGTATTCATACATGTCTGCGTGAGTGTGTGTATGTGTGTGTTTACATGAGCACGCATCCATGCGAGTACATGTTGAGTCATTGTGTACAACTATCATCTACAGTCTCTATTTGGGGGAAGGTTGTTGATTGTATGTTTCTGTGGACGATTAGCTACTGTGCAGGGAAAAAATCCAGCATCTTTTGAAATTGTCTTTGCCATAATCATTAGAGTTTCTTCACGTAATCTCAGTGAAAATATTGCTTTCTAAAAAAAGGGAAGAAAAAAGGCATGGAGGGCAGAGTGAACAGGGTTATTGGTGGTGAACCTACAACGGGGGTTCAAAATTTAGCTTCTTCCTCGGGGGTTAGTTTTCTGATCCAGAGTCGTCTTCGTCTGCGGAGCCCTTGAAGCAAGCTGACTCATAGTGCTTGTTCAGGTAGGACTTGAGAGCGAAGGTCTTATTGCAGCGCTTGCATCTGTAGTGCTTGAAGGCAGAGTGTGTTTGCATGTGGGCGCGGAGGTTTGAACGGTCAGCAAAGGCTTTGCCACAGTGGGCGCAGGCAAAGGGCTTCTCCCCCGTGTGTGAGCGCATGTGACCTTGAAGGAGCCACGGCCGGCTGAAAGCTTTGCTGCACACGTCGCATTTGTGCTTGAGGTCATGGGTGAGGATGTGCATGGCCAATGCCGGCATGGACACGTACACTTTATTACAGGTGGGACACTTGCGGGCCATCTTGCTATCCAGGCTGCGGTGCGTCTGCTTGTGTCTGCTGAGGTTGGAGGAGGTGGCGTACGTCTTGCCGCACTCGTTGCAGGAATGGCGAGCCGTGCCCGGTACCCCCTCCGGAGTCCCAGCGTTGGCGCTGCTGCTTCTGGAGCCCCCTCCACGACTCTCGCTGTCACCCTTTCGCCTCGAGCGCCCGTCAGAGATGAAAAAGGCATCCATGGTGTAACCCTCGGCCAGGGCCTCCGATTCACCACTGTAGAAGCCGCTGGCTGTCATGCCAGACTGGGGGCTGTCGGGTTGCTTCAGGTCGGGGTCACAGTACTCCCCTCCGCTGCTCACCGGTGTGTACAGGGGGTCTGACACCGGCGAAGCCAACTTGTGCTCCATCTTCTTCTCCCCCTGGTATACAGATGGCGTGATGTAATCCTGGATATAGCCTGGGAAAAAAGACACACACGCAAACACAGTTGGCCAGGGGTTGTGATGGATAAGGACACAGTGACACACTGGTGATTACATGATCATCGTGTTGGATGATTGCCCTTCGTAAAATGGTGAAAGAGCGAGTGGTAGCACAGAGATAATTGCATTTTTTTTCCCAGAGCTCACAGGTTGTACACACAATAGTGCAGCGATGCAGGGAAACATGATGTGCTCAGCTGCGATTAGGAAGGTTGCAATTTTACAGTGAGGACGAGCGGGAGATAATAGCTCATCAAAGAAGACTGTGAGAGGATGCATATTAAATAAAGTCGTCTCATTGATCAGACGTCCTCTCCTGTGATGTGTCAGTCCTCTGTGGCCAGGGCCTCGCTCTATGTCTACTTATTGAACACTGGCTCAACAATTACATCAAGTCTCAACTGCAAAACCTAAACAAGACATTATTTCCTCAGATGTTTTATCGTGAAAAGGATTTTAATTAAATTTAAATTTGTGCTCTAAATCCAAACACCTCAGTCACAGGTCGATTTCAGAGCTTTCTGTAGCAGTTATTTGATTTTTCCTGCAAACAACAAGTGAATGGTTTGGTTTTGCACCGGATCAACTTGTTACAGCTGCTTAAATCCTGTCAGATTCTGTGCTACTTCTTTTAAAAAATGCTGCAATGCAAAAGGCACCACAAGAGATTTAAATGTCCCCAACTGTACAGAGCATGATTTCAGAGAGATATATTTTCATTGGCATCACTCAAGTATTTCCTTCCTTTCTGAAGCAGCTCAGTGCCAGAGGAGCTAAAAGGCTCGCTGGCAGCTAAATGCATCCAAGCACAACTCAATATACTGAATACTCTGATCCTGCGAATCTCCGGAGCTGAATAAATACTAAATGCATTTACCTCCAGGTTTGATATTGTGAGGTGGAACATATTTGACTGAGTATAAAATGTGGTCACATTCCCTTTCTGAGAGTAATAGTGCATAACAGCAGAAAAAAAAGCCCATTCCTAAGCATTGTGTGCAGCAAGCGGTGGAAATTGGGTATTGACTGGTTTTTAATGAAATTCAAAGTTTTGAACTGATCAATAGGCCATCATCTGTAAAATAGTGCAGCTGTAGGAACAGTCGAGCGCAGGAGAAGATCAAGTATCTGCGACACACAATAATAGTTTATTGAGCCTGGTGCGCTCGAGGGCCGATAATGTGCCGACATGGCATCGTACACATTGTTTGTGAAGAGGGTCACCTGCCCACCGCGGCAGACGCGCTGAAGAGCCTTAAGAAACAGGCCATTAAGAAATCAGCTGAAGTGCTCTCTTACTCCAGTGTCTCCGCTCCCAAGGGTCTCTGTTCACACACCCACTCTGTCAAAGACATGACCGTGACACCCGAGGACCGGGGAACACCAGGCCTGTGCACACATTGTTATGCTGCACTGCATGGGTGCACTGTTTTCAACTACACAGATGGTGTGTGTGTGTGTGTGTGTGTGTGTGTGTGTCCGAGAGAGACGGAGCGATGCTTTCTTTAAAAAATAAAAAATATCACTTATTTACAATTTCATTTGTGATTAAAATCAAATTATTATTATTTGTAAGCACCTGTTTCACAGTCACTCGTGAAAACAGCACCTTAACCTTTATTTTTTCCGAGATTCTTTTTGTTTTTAATCTCCACTAAGCAGAGTTGTTTACTGTGTTTCAATTACCCAAGGTCAGACATGGAGCTCATCATTCGGGACTCTCGCTCTATCAGCCTTTCCAGCTCATGGACTCATTTCTCTAATGCAAAGCAAGCATGTAATTAATGGACCCTCTCAGCCACCCCTCTTTGTTGTTCAACAGACACTCAAGTCAAATGTCTCCACAATGGGGGGAAAGAAAATCTCCTGGCACGGCAGAAGTGCTGATGTGAGGCATTTCAGCCTCGCAGGGAATTCTTTCATTTTTGCCTCCTCTTTTCTTTCTTGGAATCAGCACAAAAAAAGATTCTTTTGTTCAAATTAAAACGCCTTTTGTCAACATCAGTGTTGTGCCTTATCGCGCTTTTCTCATTTTTAATATAACGCTTATTATCCACGGTGTTGAACAATAGACTCTGGAACAATAGAGAGTGACAATAACTATACAAATGGATTCTGTAATAATAATGTTATATTGTTCAGCAGGAAACTCAAAGAACATTCATCATCACAGACTACACAACATGCAGGGTGAATGTGTAAAATGTCTTTATCACATTATTGTTTTTACTCTTTAACCAGCAGGTTGTTTTGGAATTTAATTGTTTCAATCTTTTGTTTATATAATCACAAGTTAAATGTTTCTTAAATCCCATAATCCCGGTCATGTAAATTTCAGTGGAGCTTGTTATTGACGCGGCTGAATAACAGGTGGGCATCGTCACAACATGTATCTGTGGACTGTGAAGCCTCTGTGAAAATATCCTGACAAATCACAACAAAGACACATATGGCCCTCGCAACGTGGCCACAAAATGGAAGCGGCGAGCTTAAAGCAGAGCGTGAAAGTGAAGGTCGCCTCTCTGCACCGACCGGGGCTTAGCGTGGCCGGCCCGTGTGTTGACCACAGTGCAGCTATGTGCCTTTCTTCATGTTTACTGTACAACCTCCGTCACGTGACCGGCCTCAATGCTGCCCCAAGCATTTTTGTCTCCTTTTTCTCCTTCCCTTCGCTATCCCCTCAGCCCAGCTCCCCACCTCCCTTCCGGCCGTACTGTACAGTGTGTTGATGTCTCTAGTGGCGGCGATAGGCCTGCACGGCTGAAACTCTAACCCCTGCTAGTTTTCAAATGCCCGGAAGGAAGAGAAAGATGTAGTGGAGCGATGGGGGTGGGGAGACTGTGCATGCTCCACTTGGATGGGAAGAGGGGGGCAAGGGAGGATCGGACCGTGATGGGAACCCAAGGACAATAACAGCTAAGGACAAATGTATCATCTGATACTCATCTCTCATTTTCATGAATTTTTTAGTGCACATGATGACCAGATATAGTCACTGTGTGCGTGTTCCGCTACCACAGGGTTGGTGCAATCACACACATACACAACTGGAGCTTCTCCTGATTAGACACACGTTTTGTTCCCTATTTACATAAGCTAATCCGTGGCTGTGACCTGAATTGTGTCTGTCCTTCACTGGAGTCAAAAAACAAAAGTCTGGGAGCACAGAGATGGGGGTGGGGTGCCTCCGGAGAGGATTAATCGGGATACTGATGCAAAAATCAGCTGGCTGCATGTAACATCTCACATTAATATACATTCTACGAGCAGGAGAAACGCTCAGGCAACACAAAAACAATCGAACATGCCATCTGTGCTAAGTGTGGAAATGTGAGAGATGCTGAAATCAGCAGTGGAGCTGTGTGCAGGCTCATCTTTATCTGGAGCGGGGCAGACAAGTGGAGGCATGTTAACTCACCATTCTCGCTGAGACGAACACCAAGGCTGGTCACCGAGTCTGTGATGGAGCGTGCAAAAGTGAACGAGTCGTCCAGGTGGTGATGATGGTTGGAGGTGGCCACATTGGACGAAGAGAAATCATCAAGCTTGATTTTCTTCACCAAAAATGAGCGGGGCATGTTTCAATGGATAAAAACACAGAGCTTAGAAAAAAAATGCATGAGAGAAAATATGAAAACCCTCGGAGGAAGCACGCGAGCAGGGCTGGCTGGAAGGTAATCCTTGCGATTAATGTGAAGACGGCGGCCAAAAACATAAGATAAGAAAGAAAATGGAAACCAGTGGAGAACAAGGCTGACGGCGATGCTGTGTGATACTCTCTGGCTCCCCCAGCTTCCCCAGGAAAAATAAAAAAATAAAAAATAAAAGCGATCCTGTTCAGCACTGGATAGCTCCTGTGATGCAGCAGGCTTAAGGGACCAGTGAGGAAGAGAAGAGATGGAGACAGACAGGGAGAGGAGGGAGAGAGAGAGACTGTCAGACTAGCTGAGATCAGCAATCACGCCAGCCTTTATATGGGGCACAGGCAGTGGAAGATCAGGTGGTGCTGCGAAATGGAGCTGCTTAGCTTTAATCCATCAAATGTCCCCGGGGACACACATCAAATTACTACTGAACCGTCTGTGCATTCGCACACAGACAGAGGAGAAAGAACACAGCCAGACCCCCACTGCCCCCACTGCTGCTCCCCTCCTCTCCCCTCCCCTCCCCTCTTTCACCCCGCTTATGCTCCATGCTCGGAGGAGGAGTAAAAGAGGAGGGCAGACAATGGAGATGTGGATGAGAGCGCACTCAGTGTCCTGTCCCCCATTGTTTTCAGATGGAGTGGCACAGTTTATGTTTGCCTTGTACAGCCGCTGCCTCCCTCATGTCATCTCTGTCACCTCAAACAGCCTCAGATCTCTGCGTCCCTTTGACACGCTGCACTGTGGCCACATGCACGGTGGAGGAGAGAGCCGGACCCGAGTTTCAAAGCTGCACAGGACACCAGCACTGTAGACGCTGTCGGGGGGGGAAGCTCTGTAGTGCTGCACTGCTCAGCTTGTCTCTCTCTCTCTCTATTCCCATTACCATTGCACAGATGTGTGTGCTGCCATGCGTGGCAGTGAATTATCTGATTAATTAATTACATCTTTTTTGATTAGGGTGAAATCTAGAATTAGATTCGTGCTCGCTAAATTGGCCAGATTTCTGCGGGTTGGTTTGTGTTTGCGTGGATTCATTAGCTCACTCTGTGAATTTTATGCTACATTATACAATAGAGTGTAATGTATTTTTCATTAGTGCTGCACACTTGTTGTTCCCTTGTAAGAATGAATGTAAGTTAAATATTTACACAGGCAAAGAAAAGTTATGGTGTGGCAGCTTCTGAAACAGAATTCCAGCACCTGTTTGATTCAACAACAGGAAACACTTGTGTCACGTCACCTGTTTGATTAAATCATTTCCTACAGCATCAAACTAATAAAATGAACGACTATCGCTTCTTTTTCTGATGTTTCACACATTATAAGTCTAATCTAAATAAAGAACATGTTCTATTCTTCTCTGTTTTGTGGCTTTTTCTGTTTCTGTGGATTTCATAACATGGTGAATTCATCGTGCCGGGATAAACAACGAAAAGCCATTATTTATGAACAATCAGAAATGTGAGATTTAAACTCGTAAACTATTTAATTCAAATTACTTTCTACGTCTTTAATACTTGGTTCAGTCGACATACACTAAATTAAAACCAGTGACATGTTATGTTGTTGTGGATGCTCGGTGTATCTCTGATTATAGTGAACATGTTCTGTTACTTATTAGTGATTGATTACATCTTGAATATTTGATTTATATTTGTTAATTGAATGTGTTTAGTCTGTTACATTGTGAAAAATCCCGTCCAACTTTAAAACGACATATTTACAATGAAAAACCTTGAAAATGTGGTTAACCACTTGTAGCATCAACTGGAAAACTTACAGGGTTTTTTTCACTCGAAGCTGAAACACTGATTTCGTATGTTTTGCTTTTTCAGATTTGATCGTGCTCCTGACGTTGCGCTTGAATGGTGTTAAAGGTGCTATATATTAACCCCATCCCCTCCCCCGCCGGTCGCTCTATATCATATCGGGCCAGTGACGGTGACCCTGCAGCTCGGACACGACAGGTTTCAAGAAGGGGACGGCTTTAAATCAGCGCCGTCAGGATTTATCATACGTGTGTGATTGTACATTAAAGGACAAGTTCACATTGATGTCACTAAGCCAAGCTGATAGAGGCAAGGACGCCAGAGGTCAGGGGAGGAATCACTGTCGGAAATAATGAGACCGAGCGACGGTTTCTGTTCTTTTTCTCTCCAAACGTAGGAGCCATCTCGTGAAGAGACATTTCACAGAAGGTCGTGAATTGTATTTCTTTAGTGATCAAATTTCACCTCTTTTGTTCAGGATACAACAAACTGCACCGTCCCGTGTTGAAATGTTTCACTTGTTCCAACGAGATTGTTCCTCAGAATTGACTCAACGGAGCAGAGAGGTTAAATTAACAAACCTTGAGTGACTGATATCAAACTCTTTCAGTATTCGCTCAGACCTGTCGTCTGTATCATCCTGAACTTCACCTCACCTCTGACACACGTTCTCATTATTCTGTGCAGCGCAGAATAAAGTAGAGACACTGCAGCTTCACATCAACACAGATAAATAGGATGTGGACAAAGTATTTTTCAAGACAGTGGAGACAAGACAACTTCGATCAATGCAAGATGTTTGTCTTCAGTTATTGCACTCAGGCTGTTTTATGGTTTTTTTTAACTTTACGTTGACACAATTAACACATGGATTATTTCTCCATTCCATCACGTTTGAGCTTTAAAGATACTTTAGAGAACAAGTGCAACAAGTTGACCACAGGTTAGAAGTGACGGACAAAAGGAAACATGCTGTGACTGAAACCTTTTCCAGCAGCAGGAGACTCACTGACGATTGTTTCCTCCTCCTCCTCCTCCTCCTCCTGCAGGAGCTCGGGTCCACTTATGGCCCCCAGACTCTGACATGTGGTCACTGCCTCGGGATGTTACCATAGCGACGGACCCCCTCAGGCTGGAGGAAGGTTGTTTTTTTTTACCGGAGCGGGGGCTTCACTCTGGTCAGATGGAACGAGGGGGTGGGGGGGATACAATCAGCCTCATTAACATCCTGTACGACCCTCCAGGGCGGCGGAGACGACCTCGCCGGCTGAATGAAAGAAGTCAATCTCGTTGATTTGTCCCACATACAGAAGTTTATTATCTCTCTTTACAGACGTGTTGAGTCCGTTCAATCATTTAATTTCCAGCCGATTCACACACCTCACAGAGAAAAGAAGAAGATCAACCAAACAGAAAATATGATTACACATCTCATGAAGAGGCCGTGCTTATATAAAGACACTCGGAGCCTGTTGGGCGAGGTAAAGTGAGGCTAAGAGTCCATTAGGCACAGCCATGTATAATTCACCTCGCTCTTGCTTACTGGGTCACTTCACCGAGGCTTTTTTCATCTGCTGCAGGAGCAGACTGATGTGCTCTTTAGAAAAGCCGGAGCTGACGGTGGATAAAAAGTTTAGAACACAACATGAATCTGTTTTAAAATCACAACAGGTATTTATTTAATCAGAAAAGTTTGATTTAATTCGCGATTTTAAGACGTTTCGCGGCCGAATCCTAAATATAAAATATATTTTTTACGCAGACACTGATCAGACATGGCTCAATGAATGAGACCATGAAGGCAATACTTAACATTTTACTGTGGATTTCTGGTCCAACATGAAGTCTGAATGGACGTTAACAGCCTCCCCAGCCGCACTGTATCTAATGCTGTTTGGCAGATAGTTCAGTGTATCACTCATGCCCTATTTGGCTTGTGTCTGCCTGTTGTCCTGTATGCATCTCGGAGCGTGTGTGCATTTGTTGTCCACGGGCAACTGTTCAGTAAATAGGGCAATTAAGTGTGAAAAGCAGAAACGAGCTAGCATGTTCCCATCTCTTTGGTGGGGGAGATAATTTATGCTAATAACATCTCTACCGCTCAAGCTGCCCAAAAATGATAGCAGACCCTTTTGGCTTCAGAAGAATCTTTTCATCCTCTTGGAGAAAGAAAAAAAAACTGGTTTCTCAACACCTTGCAAATAAGACAGCTGTGTGGCAGAGAATGAGTCTCTCTCCCTCCCTCTCTCCAGCTTTCATCTGCAGATGATAATCTTTTCTCCTTCACTGTCTTGTATGGCGCTTGTTTGTTCTTCATTTAGCCTGTGGAATACTCGAAACCTACTTTTCACCACCATCTCCCCCTGCTGCTCGCTCTCTCTCTCTCTCTCTCTCTCTTACAGCCTCACACCCTCCACACAATCTATCATCATTTTTCCTTCAAGGGCCATCATAGGAAGTCGCAGCATGTGTGAATGCATTACTGTAAATAGTATCCTATGCATGAGTGATGCTTCTGAATAAAACTTAAACTCGGTCTCTGCATGCTGTTCATGTGACATAAATTCCTCGATCATTCTGAGGGGCACGGAGGCACTGGGTGGCTGTGAGGAGCAGGGGCCACGATGGCAGTTCAATAAATAACCTCGGTGAAAGTGGGAGCAATAAACCATATGAAATCTCTACCAGCTACCCACTTTCATGCACAGTGAGGAGCTCTCATGTCAGCCACTGAGAACAAATGTGTCAGCTTCCAAGGCTGACATAATTTCTTTTGTGCACTGCAACTGGAACGCCTGACCAGAATGTGGGCTACACTTTCAAACACTGGGTATCGGGGAAATGCTTTCGGGGGAGGTTTGCTGCAGAGAATTGAAAGAGAAGGTCGATACTATTCTCATGACTGTAAATATAAAGCCACACCAGCAGCTGCTAATAGTCGTAAGCTTCTTTATCACCAGTCAAAAAATCTACTAATAAACATCTGGCTTCAATCGGCTTTGAGAGACCACCTCAGGTCAAACGTCACCGTAAAAAATGCTTCTGCCTGCTGGTTTTGGTGTAAACGAGTTGTTAGGCAACGATGGTTTCTTCAGTAATACAGGTACTTTCAAGCAAGTATTGATATTTGAAATACAGTAATGACTTTACATTATTGACAGTAGTGCACAGATGTGTCAGCGTTGGACTGTGTGTGAACCCCAGAGCACCAACGAGACATCATGTTGTGTTTTGTCCATTTTTGGTAAATACCTTTAGATGTACTGCAAAAAATACAAAAAACTTGTATATATTGACAGAAATTTAAAGAGTAATACAACTTTTTACTTTTCATTGATTCATTAGCTATACAGTTTATACTTTGAGGGTCGTAGGTGGACTGGAGTTGTGCTAATTGGGCGAGAGGTGGGAAACCATGGACAGTTTGAAACAGCTAATCAATGAAATATTACTGTTTACTTTTGCCGTTGAGCGTTAAGTAGTAATATCAA